AAATGAGAATATAATACAAATGAATAGAAGGTGGAAAGAAGATAAAACTCTAAATCTAATTCAATTTCATTTCCAATACAGTTGAGATTCCTTCATTAATGACTGAACAGATTTGACCAAAAGCAATGATCATGTTCTTTACCCACTTGATCATGTCCATGGGGAGATTGAACTGGAAGTTTTTAAGTGACAACTGTTGGGTTCCAATCAAGAAATATAATCACTTGTGTAAATTAGAATAATCACCAAGTTAATCCACAAGATCCAATAAAATAATACCAAGCTATTCAATATTGCAAATCAAAACCAATGCACAAACAAAGAAACAACCACAAAAGGAACTAGTCTAAGTCACAACTAGATAACATAATTGCCTAAATTGAACTATTTAAGATTTGATTTACCCTTCTTCCCCCTAAACTTGATCCTTTAAGCCATTCAAAACAAGCGCGCAAATCATACTGTTGCTATATATATATATATATAAAATTAAATTGGGAATAACTCTTAGTCTTAGAAAGTTAAACAAGCATAGCTTGTTTCCCTTCCTCTAGCATGCTCTAATTGCTGCTATAAATATGAGCAACCAAAAAAGTACCATTTTTTTTTAATATATATAGTCTATAATTATAAGTTTCTGGAGAAGAAAACAGAATAATTGATATCAATATAAGAATACTGAACCAAATAAAAAGAGACAAAAAAGAAAGACAAATCTATATTGTTTTAAAGGTTTCAAGCCGAAGTTAAATCAAATACTAAAGAGCTTTACCTGAACTATATTAGGATGAAAGAGACGTGAAAGCAAGGCAACCTCAGACTTAAACTGTTGTTCAAGCTTGGCTCTGGTTTCCTCTTTCTGATTTGGTATCCTCACCATTTTCACAGCAACAGCTCTCTGCTTGTAAATCCCTCTATAGATCCTACTATGAGCACCAGAAGCAAACTTATTACCTATAAAAAGCTGTGAAAGATCAGCAGTCCACTCTTCCTGATCCTCTTTTGAAGTCTCCCACGTTCCCACATTCTCAGACTCAAGAATCATAGACCATGATTCTAAGCTGTCAAATCTTCTTCTCTCCATGGTCTCCATGTCTGAATTCAACTGGGTTTTTGAGGAAGAAGGAACTGGTAAAGATTTGCTTTTTGATCTTCGAAGGCGAAATGCATGGAAGCATGAGGTCGCCATTGAAGATGTGGGTGATCAGAGGTTCCTTGTTTTTCCCCCTTTTTCTATATAAAGGTGAGATTTTTAGGGTTCATGCGCTGTCAAAACAGAGTGCTATTAAAAGGAGTTCTCCTCCTGAATGTGTGAATTGATTTCAGGAAGTGCATGAACTGATTCAAAAACATGGGTTCTGTACAAAAATAGAAAATAGAGATGGGTTTTCATTAATTTATCCAAAGACATTAAAAAAAAATTTACAGAATCAGAGAAGAAGAAAGCCCATAATCAGCTTTTTGCCAGAGAAAAAACGGATAAGACTTCCCCATTTCAAGAATTCTTCTTCCTTTATTTCAAAAGAGAGAAAGAGAAACGTCGTCTTTCCTTCATGTAAGAACAGATTTTGAACGGATACACAACAAGAGAGAGAGGGAGAGAGAAAAAGAAACCGAGGGAAAATGGAAAATGGAAATTTTCCCGAGAAACTGAAAGAAAAAAATAAGAAAAGAAAGAGTTGGATGAAATGGGGGTGAGGAACTGAGGCGTGTTTGGCTGGCAGTAGAAAGATGAAGATGAATTCAAAGCAGAAACATCAGGGGAGACCCGTGATTGCTTGGTTTGAAAAGAAAAAGTTTTCTTTTTTTCTTCTCCATCGAATCCAACACCTTGGCTTCTGGTTTCTGTTTGCTGCTTCTTTTTTGCATCATTAATGCTAAGTGGCCACAGTGGCAAACGTTTTCATACTTACCAGACCCTCCTAATCTTTGCATGCATGGCATGGGCTACTCAACTCTCTATATATATACACACACACACACACACACAGATAAATATATATATATATATATACCGGAGACAAACCCACATATACATACATACATACATATGTATATATAGAGACATCTTTTATTAGACTGTCTGTAATTCTTCTCAGTAGCATAATATAATATGATGATTGGCTATTAGCTTAGCTTTGAGTTTAATTTTTGCATTTCAAAAACCCTAATAAACTATTAATATTTTTTCACAATTATTTTTATCAAATACCAAATACTTTTTAATTAATAATTATTTTAACAGTATTTTTAATTTATTATGAATTTTCTTTTTTTTCCTGGTTAAAAACTGATACAAGTGGCTTTTACACGTGGCTCAAGGTCATGCAGACAAGTGGCAAATTCTGAATGGATGGCTGACAAAGAGGTAATGAACCAATGCAATAAAATTTATTTTATCTCATTTGCTATTAAATTTAATTCAGTAATAAAATAATCTAATTACATAAATAAATTACAATTTATTGCATAAATTATTAATGAATCATGAAAATTAATCACGTAATTTAATTTTTTTTTTGTGTGATTCGCGTGATTCTAATTAAAATAAGTTTATTTAAATATTTTGGAAATTTTTATTTTTATTTATTTATAAGTTAAAACAAGTATTTTAAAATGTTTAATATATTAATATAATTATCTTAAAAATTGTACTTTCAATCTTTATATATATATATATATATATATGACAATAAATTAAATCAATTAACTAGTCTAAAATATCGATTAGTGTTCTAAAATTATTAATTTAAATTAATCAATTGACAGAAAGGTTTGATGAGATTGGTGAAATGTTCAAATTTAATTAATTCATTGAGAGTCTAACTTTGTTCACTCTAATCAAGGTATATTTTTAATTTCCTTTTGTGAGATACAAGAAGAAATAGTGGGTTCATGTTACATATATATATATATATGTATGTATGTATAGCCAAAATTTTGTTAAACCCACTAAATTGTCTCCTTAAAATGTAAAAAAAAAAAAAAACCCAAAAAAATTATATTCTCATATGATATATTTAACAATAACTAAAATAAATTATTATAACTAGTAATTTTAATTTATGTATTCTTAATTTGTTTATATCATAAACTCATATTCAAATTTATGATCACTAATTAAATATTAATGTGTGTGTGTGTATATATGATAACATATAATATACTAATGCATATTACCAAATTCCTAGCATTAATTTTACACCTTACATCTTTATATATATATATATATATTTATCTTTAAAAGGGTACATATACTTTGTACTTAAGCTCACTAATATTGGTCTTCTTCACTTTATTCCAAAGCTAATCATTGTGGAATTTTTATTTATTAGTAAGAGTTTTTGTCCCTTTTGGGTGATGGTAGAAAAAAGAAAATGTTCTCTCTTAAAGATTTTTTGTATTCTTTGTTATTATTATTATTTTGTTAAAATAAATACTTTATTCTATATATAACTTCTATAATACTTAATTATAATGATTCTATTATTTGTATAAATTAAAAAATATTTTATGATAAATAAATTATTTAATCGATAAAAATTACGAAGAGATCAAAAATATTATTTAACATTTTTAGTCATAAAAAAGCGTAAATAGAAAAAAAAAATTAAATTTTTATTAATTTTTAATTCATTACTTGTGAATTAATAAATTGATTGATAAATAAATTTTCAAAAGTAATTGATGATGGAGTTTGGTCCACCTCCACTTTCTCATTTGATTTAGATCATATTGAAATTTCATTCACACGAATATCAACCATCTTTTTCAAACAGAAAGATATCTGCATGAACTATATTTATCATTTCGTTATATGATTATGATAACGAATGATGGTAAAGTTATGAATTTAATAGAAATTACTATTAAAGTAATTACAATTTTTATTGAAAAAAATAATAAAAACAAATTCAAGGTTTTGAATTATGGTGGTTAGAAGTTCATAATTTATAACTCGATCAGATGTAAGAAAACAATTAGAATTGTAATATATAATAAATTGCAAACGAATCCTAAAAATCGAGGGTCAAACACATAATTCGACTGGTTATTTTTATGATTTTGTTTAAATTTAATTCTATTTAATTTACAATGTTAAATATACAATATATATATATATACACACACACACACTATTTGTTTTTTCATAATATTAAGTATTGGTTTAAAGAATATGCTTGGCACCAAGAAAATCTTCTCTTAGGATGTTAAGAATGCTAGATGTAGAAGAATAACTTCATCTATATATATGTAATGTGATATTTTATATACCATGTAATGTGATATAGACATATATACATATATACATATATATATATATAAAAACACACACACACACACACAAAAAGATGTATTCAATATTGCATTAAACAGGGTCAGAGTAAAGTTGGAAACTTGCTTTGTGAATTGATAGCAAAAGCTCTTGGGACCAGAGAGAGAGTTGCATTGCATCCCACTTCTGCATGGCCTGCAAATTGTTCGTCTTGTCATTATCAAACACTTCTGCATTCAATGATCTTCCTCATTCAACCTCTCAACTTTCTGTGGAAAATATTCATTTTGATTCAAAATTATAATTGGGTATTCCAAATTATGTTTATTATTATTAGATATTCAGAATTAAAATTATAATTTTTTTTTTTAAAAAAAAATACAAGATGATAACTTAAAAAAAATTGAAACTGTAATTTTGGGTCTGCAGTTTTTTTGAGTCCTAATTTAATATTGAAATTTGACAGGAAAAAATCAGCTGCTGCCTCATTCTATGAAGGAATTTGGGCCTAGTTTTTTTTACCCAATTGTGATCCACAAGTTTGTAAGAAATTCAGAAAATGGTCCAAAAAATTTTTAAATATTTAAAAGAGGCCCAATCAATAATAATTCAAATGATGAGGACCCAATTGTAAAAACAAGATTTTTGATGGGCTCTTTATTAAAAACAAAAAAGAGTTGGGCCAATAGGCTAAGAGGCTTGAACAGGCTTGTAATATATATTTTTGGGCACTACTCCCATTAATTTTTGGTATTTGCACATTGCCCACATTTGGATTTTTTTTTTTAAAAAAATAATTACTATTCAATATAATAACTCGATCTCGTATGAAAAAAAAAAATACGTGTATAATTATTGAATTTTATATAAAAATTCAAATTGTATATTATTAATAATTCGAATTTCGATTTTTGTATCCCTAAAATGATATGCAAAATACGTAAATCGGATCTAAACTTTACGATGTTATATAAAAAAAAAAAAAATGGAGTACTTTCAAATATTGGGTGAGTTTGGATTTTTTTGAAGAAAAATAATTATTTAATGTAATAACTTAATCTTATATAACACATGTATATATATATATATAATTATTGAGTTTTATATAAAATTTAAATTATATATATTACCAATAACTAATATTTAAATTTTTATATAAATTTTATGATGTTATTAAAATATTATAAACTTTAAAATATGACGTAAAACGTATAAATTAGATCTAAATTCTATGATATTATTAAAATATATATATACGTATGTGATGGTTAAATTTTATAATAAAAAATTTAAATCGTACCATTATAACTTAAATTTGAATTTTTGTATAAAGCTTATGATGTTATACAAGACATGCAATTATGATCCGAATTGAATCGGTTAATACAATAAAATGAATTATATAATTTTTTTTTGTTAGTAATAATATTATCACACGAATATTGTAACGGCCCCGGAAATATTAAAATGAAATGAGTATTTAAATATATCAAATGCGGAAGCGAGATCAAAATTTCAGTTAACATCCCTTACACGAAAAAAAAACCAGAAACGTACTTAAAATATAAAAGATTAAACTAACTAAGAGAGAAACTCGAAAATAAAACTATGAGTATGACTACAGAGTCTCTAGGTATCCCCTTCGTCGTCCTCCTGCGGAACGGGCTCGGGAACCATGTCTTCCTGATCTGAAATGGTTAAATAAGGAGTGAGCTACACTAGCCCAGTAAGAACATCACGATATCTCACCGTCACGGAGGTAAAGGTGGGTAGAAAAACACAAAAAGACCAATGGAGCATAATTTACAATAAACTCGTTTATCAACATGAAAACCTTTACCATCCACTTACCTTGGTGGAATTTATGAAAACAATATGAGAAAAACAATAACATCATCATAATCATTGAATAA